AAGTTATTCAGTGTGCCATGTTAGTAGACTCTGAACCTATAAGTACAGAGGAGGCTCTTAAGCATAAGCTCTGGCTGAAGGCCATGAAAGAAGAACTTGATGCTATAGAGAGAAACAAGACTTGGAAGCTGACAGAACTTCCAAAAGATAAGAAAGCCATCAGCGTCAGATGGGTTTTCAAGCATAAGTTAAAGCCAGATGGCTCAATTGGCAAACATAAAGCAAGGTTGGTAGCCAGAGGATTTCTACAAAAACCTGGGCTGGACTAGTCTGAAGTGTTTGCACCTGTAGCAAGACATGAAACAATCAGAATGGTGATTGCAATAGCTGCTAACAGGAATTGGCCTCTGATGCATTTAGATGTAAAATCCGCATTTCTGAACGGTCCATTAGAAGAAGAAGTTTACGTGTCACAACCTCCTGGATTTGTGAAAAAGAATCGGGAAGGGATGGTGTACAGATTATACAAAGCTCTATATGGATTGAAACAAGCGCCCAGAGCTTGGAATCAGAAAATTGATTCATTTTTCAAGAAGCAAGGCTTTCAGAAATGTGAGATGGAGTACGGTGTCTATGTTCAGCATACTTCTGAAGGCAATATGACTCTTGTATGTTTATATGTTGATGATATACTGCTGACTGGAAGTTCTGAACAGGAGGTAGCCAAGTTCAAGAAGGTTCTAATGAATGAATTTGAAATGACTGATCTAGGCAAAATGACATACTTTCTAGGGATGGAGTTCAGATATTCTGAGAAAGGTATCATTTTGCATCAGCTCAAGTATGAATTAGAACTTCTGAAGAGATTTGATCTGAAGAATTGTAAGATGGCTGTCACACCTTCTGATACAAATCAGAAACTGGATTCAGACTCTGAAGGAAAGGATGTGGACGCTACAACCTTCAAACAGTTGGTTGGTTCTCTGAGGTATCTGTGCAATACCAGACCTGATATTTGCTACTCAGTTGGGATGGTTAGTAGGTTAATGAGTAAACCTAAGTGGTCCCATTGCCAAGCTGCTGTCAGGATTCTGAGGTATATCAAAGGAACTCTGAAGTATGGAGTGTTATTTCCCTCTGGAGGAAATAATGAGTCAGAACTTCTGAGTTATTCAGACTCTGATTGGTGTGGAGACAGAGTTGACAGAAGAAGTACATCTGGGTACTTGTTTAAATTTCTGGGAGGTTCCATTTCTTGGTGTTCCAAGAAGCAACATGTTGTGGCGTTGTCAACCTGTGAAGCTGAATACATTGCAGGTGCTGTTACTGCATGCCAAGCTGTGTGGATTCTGAATCTGTTGCAGGATCTGAAGATTAAAGTAGACAAACCTCTGAAGTTGATGATTGACAACAAGTCTGCAATCAATCTTGCCAGAAACCCAGTGTTGCATGGGAGAAGCAAGCATATTGAGACCAAGTATCATTTTCTGAGACATCAAGTTCAGAGTGGAGTGTTAGAAGTTGTACACTGCAACACTCAGAAGCAGTTGGCAGATGTTCTGACGAAAGCTATCAAGACTGATCAATTTCTTAGACTAAGGGATGGAATTGGTGTTACAAGTTTTGATGGAATATGAATTAAGGGATGGTATTAGAATATTAATAGTAATTCATATTTATTTAGTTGTACTATTTTCTTAGCCCCTAAGTTTGTTAGAGGGTATTTTAGTATTTTATCTTATTCTAGTAACCCTAGTTTTAGCTTATAAATAGGGTGACAATCATTGTAACTTTTATCATGTTTTTGTAGCCGTCATTCTTAATAGAATATTTCCTCTGTTCATCATTTATTCACCTTTGCACCAACAATAATATCGCGTCAAACTTTCTCTCTTCCTTCTTCATTTTATATAAATAAATTAAAAAAAACTTGTCTTTCTCTTCAAGCTTTTGAGCTCTCACATCTATTCAAACTTCTATCCCTAGCAAACTTTTATCTTTAGAGCTTTTTCTCCTTCTTTTCAGTATTTCATACACTCAATATTCTACTTATCATCAATTTGATTTAGCAAGTTTTTCAAAAATTTGTATATTTTTATGTTTTGATTTGTAGTTAGTTGTTTTAGGTACATTAGATAGTAGTGTAAATGAAACTAGTAGACTACAAGAACATGCATTGATATATTTTTTAGGGTTAGGGCAACAATGGCGTTTCTGCCATAACTGAGAATTGTAGATTTTTTCGAAGATGCATCTCCGAATTTTCTTAGTACTATTTTCAGATAAGCTTCTCTAGATTTGACTTGGGTAAAAATTTTGATTGATTTTGTAGAATTTGTGGATTTGTCCTGACATGTTGCTTGTGTTTGTTTGTAACGCATATGCAGTGACTGAAAATAACCCTGTCAGAACTAGATTCAACCTTGTGTCTCAAACCGCGTTGATACGACGCGAGAAGGCTCCAACTAAGATCACAAGGTCACTAGTCGATGATAACTCATTTATTGGTTTGCAAAGTCAATATTTTCAATCATCTGGTTCTACTGCTTCTCGTAGTCGCCTCTCTCAAGCATTTATTTCATGGGGCCACAAGTCCCCAAATGCTGTAGTAGAACCTGAAAACCAAGAGGAAGTTGTTGTTTATGTCACTTTAGAGAGTTATTCAAAATCTCCATTAAACTCCTCCTTACTTCATCTATATGTTGACCATATTGTTAGGCATGTTTCTACTACTAGGCAAGTTTGGGAAGAAGAGATGTATTTTTTTTTCAATACATGTTTTCAACTAATTAAATTGACACTAATGGTGATATTTTATTTTTACAGGAGCATACGTGGTTGAAATCGGTAAACCGCGACAAGAAGATATTGAAATTGGAATAGGCAAATATCTTGACATAAATTTTTTAATTTTAATTTAAATTTTGAAAAAATCACTTAAATATAAAAAAATTTGACATTAATTTTTTAAAAAAAATTATGATTTCGACTATACTTTAATATTTTATTATGTATATTTATAATACATGATATTTAAATTAGTTTCTTAATTTATAAAAAATTAATTTTAAAAAAATAATATTTTAAAAATAGTTTTATAAAAATTATTTTTTAAAATTAAAGAAAATAATAACAATAGTTCTTTTTAAGGCAAAACCAAAAATATGTTTTAGCCCCACCAACAACCAATGAAATCGCTATTCTTCTATGAGTTTGGGTTGTGTTTAGGGTTGGCAATGAACCAAACCAACTCGAAGATAGTTCGAAATTCGACTCGACAATTAAATCGTTGAACTAGGTTCATGAACCAAATGAGTTGAGTATGAGCGAAAAATTAAGTTCGTTAACTAAATGAGCTGAACTTGAACTATACATAGTTCGACTCGTTAGGTTCATGAGTCAACTCGATTACATATGAAAAGAATTATACTGTCTTTAAGATTAGGTTTAAATATTTATTTCAAATATTAGACAAATTTAATCTTCAATTTAGTAGTTTTTGAATTGGACTCTCAAATGTATCTCTTGAAAGTTGTGTAGGTTTTGAATTAGTAGATTTCGAAGATAAAGTTAAATTTCAATATGATAACTTTTATTTTATTTTAATATTTTATTTAAAATATATTTATTTATTTAAAATGTCAAATATACTAAAATATATATATATATATATATATTTAAAAAAATAGTTTTTAAGTTCGTGAACCATGTGAGCTGAACCTAATGAGATGAACCTAACGAGTCGAACCGAACTGTTCGTGAACTTATAACGAGTCGAGTTTGAGCTTAAAAAAAAGTTCGTGTCAAACTCGAACTCGAACTCGAATTCGAACAATTCTTAACGAGTCGAGCCGAGCGGATGTGAGTTCGACTCGACTCGACTCATTTCCAGCCCTAGTTGTGTTTGAAAATATAGATGAAAAATTTATCACTAAAAAATTAGGATGTTGTCTACCGTAACAGACTTTAATAAATTTAAAACTGTCTTTAAAAAGTTTTTAAAAAATTCTTAAAATTTTGCATAAATTCAAAACCGCCGCTAAATAATTAAAATTTTAAGAAAAAAAATAAACTGACATTCATTAAAATGCTGAATGATTGGAATTGAAAGAAGAAAAAAAGTGACAAAAATTATTTTAATCATTAAAATGCTGAATGATTGGAATTGAAAGAAGAAGAAAAAGTGACAAAAATTATTTTAATCATTAAAATGCTGAATGATTGGAATTGAAAGAAGAAAAAAAGTGACAAAAATTTTAGTGAGACCTATTAGACAAGGTACTTTATTCCTTTTTAAACATTTTTTATAAAAATATTTTATTGCTCTCTCAAAACTACGGTTTGGAGAATTTTATTACTTCAAACATTTCTCTTGTAAGGCATTGTTTATTTAAGGTTGTATCATGCCCTTATCTGGAACCGTATGGAGTAAGTAAACAGTTGATGCCTAGGGCCATAACTCAAATTTTCTTCAACGTCCAATCTAATCGAATATTAGGTCTTTTAAGTAATATATAGCCGTTTGTGGTCCTTTAGCTCCTATAATATTGTTAGTATTACATAAATAACATGGGGTTGAGATATATCACAGCTCTTTTATTTTAGTCCATTTAGAGTGAGTTTCACATTTATGTACAAAAGTTAGAATTAGGATAGGTGAAGGTGATACACGACCTACTAACAAAATATCTTACATTAATTATAGAATAAATAAATTATAAAGATTGGTTTAGATGTGAACCCCACTAAATAATGGCAACAAAAACCAAGTTTGTCCGGAAGAACAAGATAAATGAGGCAAGAATGATAGTGTTAAACAGATTTGAATATTAATAAACGAATATAGTATCATTTAAAAACAAAAGTCAAGCAAAATATATGTGTAGGATATATGCATGTGTAGTCACTTGTCCTTTGTGAGACAAATGTATACATGCTATAAGAATATGACAGTAATACGATACAAAATATCTTTTTCAGTCGTAATCTTAGTTATAAAATGGCATGGCAGCCTTCAAAATATATCTTCACCACCAAACAAAATCCCATATGCATCAAAGCTACCGCCTCAAGCTCTCCACGACGTAGTCCGCATACAAGGTCCTGCACAACCATAGCAGAAAGATTACAAATTCTGCATTATAAGCATTCATTAAAAGGAAAATTATGATTTGAGAAAATCAATCATAATTTTGTAACCAAACACCCAATTATCAATCCAAAAACAGAAACCAAATGATTTATTATGCACGAGTGAGGACAAGGTAACTTACATGGAATGCTCGATCGCTTCATAGGCAGATGAGGCAGGGAGGAAGTCATTCACTGCAACTTCCTTGTTCTCGTTCTTCTTGTCTAATTGCTTTCATTAAGGAAAAATGTAAAATTGTTTCATATATGTTAAACATTAGATGATATAAATTTATGTATATTATACGACATAATTTGAAATTTTGCAAAGGATACAATCTTCAAAAAACCGACGAATTTCAGCTAAACGATGTGGAGGGAGCTCCTTGATATCATTGAAATGCCTATATTCGGGATCATCAGCACAGACAGCAATTATCTTGTCATCTTTCTCACCCTGAATTTCATAAGAATTAGTGCTTGATTGATAATAATAGTAATAATAATAATCAAAACCATGGGAATGTCTCATATACCTGATCAATCATAGGCATGAGTCCAATAGCTTTGGCCCGAAGAAAGCAACCTGGAAGAACTGGCTCCTGTTGTAGCACAAATAAGAAGAATTAGCATCTAAGAGCAGCAAAGACAGGTCGAATATACTAATACTAGACTTGATCCTCTTCTCAAATCAATACCATGCAATATTAGTTGTTAGAGTAGTCATATTTTAAAATTTACTCTCATTACCAAACTTTGATCATCTTGATCCGGCTAAAATTTTGGAAATTTACTCAAAGCATAACTCAATAGTAAAAACATAAGGCTCATTATGTTAAGGATTATTAAATTCATTAAAATTACTTTATAAGATACTAGAATCTTCAAAATGTGAATCCCCACCAACTTCTCTCATATGAAATCACAACTGGCCAGAAGTTGACTATTATTATTCAACCCATTCTTTAAAAAAGCACAAGAACTCGTGCAAAATAATATAGATAAAGTTCTATATTGAAGAGTAACAATAGATGTTCTGTCTAACTTCGGACAAAATTTCAATGCATGCTGGTTTCCTTTTGGGATTCATAGAGTAACTAGGAACCAAATCCAAATTGAGAACAGGACTGCAAAAAATATGCAGTGCACATTTTCTTCAAATGAAACCATCACACAAGGAAATTTAGTTTAAGGATGGTGGACAATAGCAGCCCAATGCAATTACCTGCATAATGACCAAGACATCGATGGGATCACCATCCTCACAAATAGTGCGGGGGACAAACCCATAATTGTGAGGATACACAACTGATGAGTACAGCACGCGGTCAACCTGTACAGAGAAGCATGCTCAGCAATAACATGAAGGAACATGTACGACAAAGGGAACAAAGAGCTAAGCAACCATAATCACCTTAATAAGTCCAGTTTTTTTGTCAAGTTCATATTTCACCTTGTTTCCTTTCCCGATTTCAACCACCTAAAAATTCATCAACATTTCAAAAATGAAGTATTAAAATCAGATTTCACAAAGACCTTATTTGACATTGTACAACAACTACGCATTGTCCCACTAAGTGGGGTCTTATTTGATGTCCAAAAGAAAAATAACAATTAAACTCACAACATAAGCATACTAACCTAAGAATGTACAAGTTCAAAAAGGGGAACAATCAAGTTGTGATTGGAAACAATTACATTGTAATTTTGATAAAACTTGGAGAGAATGTTATGAAACAAATAAATAATAGGCAAACATGATGCAGAGAGGCTGAACCTTTAAGCACAAGCATACTACAAATTTGGTTATATTCGTGTTAGTCATCAACAAGTGGCCCATAAATGGGTCAGCAATCAGAACAATCTAATGTGTTGGATGTTGATCAGGAAGCATGGAAAGCGTGGTTGTCAACCAAGTAATTATATTATTCTTAGGAACATAAACAATCACTGTTGTTCAAAAGAAAAATAAAACAACTAATTGTAAGTTGGTATCCAGCATGCTTACACAGTTGAAGATCTTGGGAGCTTCAGGGCCTACATTGTTGAAAAAACACTTGTTATTAGATTAACAAATAAAGCATTACAAAATAAGCACGCAAAATAAAAGTAGCAACACATTGTGATCAAACCACCAACATGTCACCATTGTTTCAAATCAAATTGTTCACCTATTTCAAGATCATGCCAAGGGTGTGCAGCAACAGATCTCCTTGTCAAGGATGAAAGGATCCTCTCATTAAGAGGTGGAGGTGAGGTATAATTCGAGGAATGAACCTTGTTTGGGGTCTCAATTGGTGGAGCCATATCTTCAGTCTGAAAAAACTAACACCAATTATAATCAGATCCATCACTACATTTATTTTGAACACAATTTCACAAATATTTGGGTAGAAAAAAAAAAGCATAATTGATTTTGACCATAAACTTTCTAGGCTGTAAAAAAATATAACTTAGTCAATCGCATTCACACCATTTTTGACTAAAAAAATTCAAATAATCTAACATATCAAATAAAGCTGTGTCGTTTCGCCCCCAAATATCACAAAAACACCATTGCAATTACGAGTTGAATGAAGTAATTCTAAAAAATGAGCAGTGGAATGGAATCAATGAACCAACCAGTTCGAAACTTTCCGATTCAGAAGCCATTTGCTAAACAAAACGCCTGAACATAAACAGGTACCATTAAGAAAATATATAACCTCAAAAACTCATAGATCTGAACGATTCCAATGCATAAAAAAATCCTAACGTAGTACTATCCAGTTACGCGACTTGACCTTTGAAAAACGGTGCTTCAACAAAACGATCAAATACGCAACTATAATATAAAAATATTTTAAAAAATAAAAAAAATAAAAAAATAAAGTACAAGAACATGTAGCGTGTGGTTTTGGAGTATTGAAGAAACGAAAATGAAAATGGAAACCCTAGTGAAACGGTGACGTAAAAGGGAAAACGGGAACTCACCGACACTTAATGAAGAAGGAAGAAGAGGAAGCACAGATCTCGAGGAGAATGAAATGGTTGCTTGTTGAGTATGCAGTGGAATGGAAAGGGAGAAGGAAAGAGGATGCTTAAGTAGAGAAAGGAAATGGGAAGATGTGAGGTGTACGCGACGCGTCCTCTTCCCGCTCTCTTTGCTGTTTGAGGAAAATATTCACAGAAACTAATTAAATAGAAAAAGCATATATCCAGGGAATCAAGGAATTTTCTTACCTTCCATTCGTATACACTCCGGATCACAATTTTAATTATTTAAAAATAAATATGTGTATATTTAGTTTCTTTTAATTATAAGCTAAATTTATAATGTGCAAAAAATAATAAATTACAAATATTAATTAGAGAATTTAAAATTGCACTTGAAAACTAAGTATGATACTTATTTTAAAATAAATTATTTTTTGAAATGTGACATTTATTGGGAAGGAGGTAGTATCAACTAAGCTACTTACTTCACCTACCTTTGTAATTTATTGATCTATTCAATCATTTATTTTGTGATAAAAAATTTAAATTAATAATTGAATTTTTAAATAAATTGTTAAACTAAAAAAATCAATAAAATAGACTCAAATTTAATGTTTTAATAGATGATTTAATATGACGATATAGGTGGAATGGAAGAGCATCCAGTAAGCATTGAGTGGGAAGATTGAGATCAAAATTTTAGTGCCTAATTTGTGTATGGAACTTTATTGCCTAACTGGATAATATTATGCTTATACCGTTATACGTGGCCAAGCCTTGGATAATTAATGTGTCATAGGTAGATTATATTCTAAAAATGAATGCAGTAACTTTATTGCCGGAATGGATTAGGAGTAATTACTAATTAACACGAAGAAAGAGAAAATACTGAGTACTCAGCATGAATCAGCATATCTTATCCGCATATTCCGGCAATGAGGAATAAAAAGTGTGTGTTGCAGCTGTGGGTGGACCCACTCAGAGTTGACGGAGACGGCATTCCTAATGGTCGTGAGGTGCAGTTTGAACCCCCCAACCAACGGTCTGTGTAGTACTACACTTGTATCAGATGGATTCATTCATCACACACTTCATTTTGTGCCAAATAGCAAAACGGATATTCGCCGACACTCATTTCCCAGTTTCGTTTTATGGATAACCAAGGTTATCATAATAACCTTCGTGATGCCACGTCATCCAGTAGTAAGACAAAAAAATGAATATGGACAACTACAATGGTACTTGTTCTTCAATGTCTAACGCTGTTGCGGTACAGGTACTCCATAACTTATATCATAATTGCAAATCGATTTTCAATGTATTATTTTAGTAATTTTATAAATATTAGTAAATTAATTTAAGAAATATATTTACTAGACCTAGAAAAACATATGTAAAGATTTAACTAATTAATTACAAACATGTCAAGTTGATTATTAATATCGTATATCTTTGGTTTTTTTTTAATATATTTTGAAAAAGAATTTTGTCCTTACATGATTTATGTTTGAGGTGAGGTGTATATTTTCAATTTTTTTAGTATGGTTATTTCGAGTGAAATTCATTCAGTTCAGATCCAATGGAGCTCGTCCCGATTAATGACTTGTACAGAAAAACAAGATCGTGTTGAAACATAATTGATTGGTCAAGGTAGTCATGTCGACTTAGAGTTAACATTGAGCAATATGTGATTTAGATATGATGAGGGAAACATGGATCTCGACCCACTAGAAAGTCTTCCAACGGGATTTTCCGAATCAAATGATGAGGGTCATTTGTTTTGAATAAAATAGTGGGAGCATATTTGATTAAAGGCCTAATTAAATATGTTGTTTTAATGATACTTATATTTTCATATTTCTCTTGTAGATTACCATGACAACAAACACATCGAACAATATTTTGCGATCCATCCTAGATAAGGAAAAATTGTCTGGGACAAATTTCCTGGATTGACACCGTAATCTGAGGATTGTCCTCAAGCACGATAAGAAGCTGTATGTCTTGGAGACACCAGTTCCTGAGGAGGAACCTCCTAGTTCTGCACCAAAGGCAGAAAGAGATGCTTATAAGAAGCATTTCGATGATGCCAATGAAACCGCTTGCCTCATGCTTGCTACCATGAACTCTGAGTTGCAAAAGCAACACGAGAACATGTCTGCGTTCGATATGATCGGACATCTGAAAACGCTTTATCAAGAGCAAGCAAGAAATGAGAGGTTTCAGGTTTCAAAGTCCCTTTTTAACAACAAGTTAGCTGAGGGAGCCCCTGTAAGTCCCCATGTACTCAAGATGATTGGGTATGTGGAGAACCTTGACAGATTAGGGTTTCCCCTTGGAAAAGAACTTGTGATTGATCTGATCTTGCAATCGTTGCCAGAGAGCTTCAGTCAGTTTGTCCTGAATTTCAATATGAATGACTTGGACAAAAGTCTTCCAGAACTGCTAGGCATGTTGAGAACTGCTGAGCAGAATATGAAGACAAAAGGGAAATCCATTATGATGGTCAGTAATGGAAAGAAACAGAACAAGAGGCCCATCAAACAGGGTGGTAGAGGGAAAGGCAAGGAAGTTGCCAAACCCAAACCCACTCCTCCTGTTTTGAAGCCTAGTGGAGGAATAGCAAAGGAGGGCACTTGCTTCCATTGCGGTAAGACCGGACATTGGAAGAGAAATTGCCCAAAGTACCTGGAAGATAAGAATAATGGAGTAGAGACTTCAAATTCAGGGGCTAAAAAGGAGTAGAGATTTGGCAAAAGGTGAAGTTGACCTACGAGTTGGCAATGGAGCAAAGGTTGCTGCTTTAGCTGTAGGAACTTATGTTTTAACTTTACCTAGTGGTTTAATAATTCAGTTAGAGAACTGTTATTATGTACCTGCAATTAGCAGGAATATTATTTCCGTTTCTTGTTTGGACAAGTTTGGTTTTTCATTCATAATAAGGAACAATTGTTGCTCCATTTATTTGAATGATATATTCTATGCTACTGCAAAAATGAATAATGGACTATATGTCCTTGATCTTGAAATGCCAATTTATAACATTAATACTAAAAGGTTGAAACCTAATGAGTTGAATCCAACTTACCTTTGGCACTGTCGATTAGGCCACATAAATGAGAAACGCATTTCCAAACTCCATAAAGATGGACTCTTGGACTCTTTTGATTATGAATCATATGAGACATGCAGATCTTGTTTAATTGGAAAGATGACAAAGTCCCCATTCACAGGAAAAGGTGAAAGGGCTAATGATCTTTTGGCACTCATACATACTGATGTATGTGGACCACTGAACATACCAGCCAGAGGAGGTTTTCAGTACTTCATCACTTTTACTGATGACTTCAGTAGATACGGATATGTGTATTTAATGAAACGCAAATCTGAGTCCTTTGAAAAGTTCAAGGAATTCAAGAATGAAGTACAAAACCAACTAGGTAAGAATATTAAAGTTCTTCGATTAGATCGAGGCGGTGAATATTTAAGCCTAGAATTTGATGACCATCTAAAAGAGTATGGGATTCTATCCCAACTTACTCCTCCTGGAACACCACAATGGAATGGTGTATCTGAGAGAAGAAATCGAACCTTGTTAGACATGGTCCGATCCATGATGAGTCACGTCGATCTTCCAAACTCCTTTTGGGGACATGCATTATTAACAGCAGCTTACACACTTAACCGTGTTCCATCCAAAAAGGTTGATAAGACACCATATGAGATATGGAGTGGTAAGAAACCACATATGTCTTACATGAAGATTTGGGGTTGCGAAGTTTACGTCAAACGACAAATTTCAACCAAGCTTGAGCCCAAATCTGACAAATGCTTATTTGTGGGGTATCCTAAAGAAACAAGAGGATATTACTTCTACAATCCTTCTGAGGGCAAAGTGTTTGTCGCTCGAACTGGAGTCTTTCTGGAAAGGGATTTTATTTCCAAAGGAAACAGTGGGAGGAAAATAGAGCTTGAAGAAATTCAAGAATCACAAAACATTGAAACACCTATGGAGGAACTAGAGCGGGAAACACAAGTAGTTGTGGAAGAGCAACCTGCTCAAGTAGAACAAGACCAGCCTAGGTCAAGCAGGATACGTCACCAACCTGAGAGATATGGATATCTCATAAGTGATCAGGGTGATGTATTACTCATGGATCAAGATGAGCCTGTGACCTACAAAGAGGCCATAACTGGTCATGAGTCTGAGAAGTGGCTAGAAGCCATGAAATCTGAAATGGATTCCATGTACACAAACCAGGTTTGGACCTTGGTAGAACCTCCTATAGGAGTTAACCCTATAGGATGCAAGTGGGTCTTCAAGAAGAAGA